AAAGCAGAAAGTTCAGGATCAAATATTAAAAGCATCTTCATCAACGCCTATGAAGATTGGAGAGCAGACAATTAGAATTTTGAAAGATGTTCCATTTGAAATTCGAATGAAAAGGAAAGCATATAAAGGACTGACCTTATTCTTGCAGAACCATCAAATTAATTATCGCTGGTTGATTCCAGAAGGACTCATTTTTAAGTTCAAAGATAAAAGGGAGAAGATTGACTCCATTTTCAAAGCTCAAGACTTTTTGAAGAGGCACGCCAGCAAGGAGGAAGCAGCGCTCGCCACATGGGAGGAAATGGACAGCGACAGAGACAGCGGATCGGAGGGGGAAGTTAAGACCCCGGAGGACAAAGGAGCAGGGAAGGGTCCTTCATACAACCTGAGAGACGTGAAAGGGAGGCTGCCCAGACCATGAAGACGAGTTCGGAAAGCGCATGAAAAAGACTTTACTAACAAAAACCAAAGGGACACTACTAATCTATTAACAGGTTTTTAAAATATTTTTAACAAATAAAGATGAAAGATGATTGACAACTCGCAGAAGAAGCCAAAATAAGATTTGTGTATTACTAATAAAAGATTAACATACTAATAATAAGATCACCCAAACTTTTCTTTATCCCACTATATACCTTCCTCTTTCTTATATGAAAAATGAATAAACTCTCTCCTTTTTAGGAGAGTCAATAATAAAAAAGAAAAGAAAAGTCAAGCCCCAATGCCACCAGGCAGAGAAAACAGCCGCTTGCAGAACCCACAGAAGGGGTGGGGTGACTCCGCTGTTTGACTTGCCAAGGAAACAGGCAACCCTGGAGTCAAACCAAAAACGTGTTGTGAAATCAAATAATTTCAAGCCCAGTTTCCCACCCCTCACAGGGAAGAGAGAAAAGGGAGGCGGCAACCAGGCATTGCAGAGGAGAAACTCAGAAAGGGGGGAAACAACGAGAAAAGGGAAAGGGAGGATACTTTTCATCTGGAGATTGGTCTTTTCGCCAGGAGATCCAGTAGGTTTCTCCACCCACCCACCCCAGTCAATCCCCCCCCCAGGCCCACCACGATTTTTCTGCGCGCAAAAGGAGCACTACACTGCAAGGGACCACAATGTGAAACAAAGAATGGTCACGCACTGCCTGGGAATATATACAAACACACCTCCCATTCCGAGGGAGAAGGATGGATGTCTCTGATTGGGAACTAGAGATGCCTGTCAGCCTCAGGTGCCTGATATTGGTCCCTCAATGGCCGAAAAATCCCATCCACACTCGCTTTTCTGCGTGAAACTATGGAGGCAGTACCCAAACGCTTCCGAGCTGGGCACGGGAAGATTGGGTGCTCAGGCTTTCAGACACATGACTTTTGAGCTGGTTCGGCAGAGCTCCAAAAAATGCAATGTTCGGCCTGGATTTTAGCTCAGGGTTCGGGTCTGTGCCTATCCCTAACCACAATCTTCTGTCACCTTACAAGGGACCTCAGAGTTTTGAAAAAAGTTGGGGAAAGATCTGTGTAATTTCTAGTTTTTTTTTATTTACTATATCCATTTTTATTTTTATTTTGCTTCTTCATCAAAGGAGTCTCTGGTGCCTCTTGAATTCTGTTTTATACCTAACACCACAACATCTAAATAAGTCTGCAAAACCTCCTGGATGGCATTTTTCAAAAGCTCTTTGGCTTTTGCCATCATGCCCTGAAACTTTCCCCTCTTTTTGTTACTTAACATCCAGTTCAATAAACAGTTTGCATTTATTATTCTGTAGGGATGATTGCAAAATTCAGTTAGACTGGATTTCATTATCAAAGTGAGATTCCAGCTCCCTTCGATGATTCATTGATCTGAATCCCATTATAAGGCTATTTGATGAGGAGTCCAACAAGTTAGAGTCTAAGACTCTATCATCATATTTGGAGGTGGTTCTCCAATCCCAGAAATGATCCAGACATTTAGAGAACCATTTCTCAGAACCCAGTGGTGTGCACTCTGGGTTTTCAGAAGTGGTCCAGGCACTTAGAGAAGATCAGAGATACAATTCAGGCACTTCAATAACCATTTCTTAGTTCCTGTCTTGCTTCTGAGAGCTCAGAAACACACACTTCTCAGCTCTCAAAAGCAGCTGAAGTGCAAGTCTCAGAGTATTCAGAAATGAGCCAAGTTCTCAGAGAAGCATTTCTAAATGCCTGGCTTGCATTTGAGACCGCAGAAGTGCATTCATCTAAACTCTGAGACTCAAACTCACCACTTGGAAATGGTTTGAACCTAGTTCACTTCTGAGTTCCATTTTTCTGTGGTAGGTCAGAATTCCCAGCAAGCGGCAGCCAATCCTGGTAATCTGCTCTGTCAAAGCTCATAAACTTTGATGGAAGCTCTTGAATTGAATCCCTCAAAAGGGAGAAACAATGAGCCCTACATGGGACAAAACTGTGGAAATCCACATCCCTACTATTTTGTGGAGGAAGAGAGGGCAGCACAGTGTGGTCCAGTCTCATCAGGTCTTGGAAGATAAGCAGGATTGGTGGGAGGCCACCAAGGAAGACTCTGCTGAGAAAGGCAATGGTAAAACCATCTATGCTTCTCACTTGTCTTAAGAACTCCTTGTTGGCGTTGCCAAGTCAGTTGCGACTTGATGCAAGCAAATACATATATACTATTTTGTGATAATTTGGTTGGGTGCATATAAAATGTTATTACATTACTATTGTTTTTCGGAATCTACCTTATACCTGCAAATTAAGTGTATTGTTGTTCTGCACGAGGAACAGTTCTGTTCACTTGAAAGTTTGCATACTATTATGACCAAAGAAGATGTTGCTCTGGAAAAACATGTCACCTAACCAACGTTCCCTCTAAGCTGTGGATTCTTGTGAGCAAAAATTCTACTTTGTGAGCTACTGGTATTAAAATTGTGAGTGAGTGATTTGGCTACTGCATGAATTAGTTTGCTTTGGAGCCACTCTTCCTGAGCTAAGACAAAAATGTGTGAGCTGGAGGCTAAAAAACTTTGAGCTAGCTCACACCAACTCAGCTTAGAGGGAACACTGCACCTAACCTATTTTGTTCCATTTTGCTGCAAAGAAAAACAAGTCTCCTGTTGCATAAGGTTATAAGAGAGTCCTAGTAGTCCGCCATCCTATTTCCAGTAGAGGTTGGCTGGATGCTTCCTAGATGCTCACAAAACAGTCCATGTCAGTCCTCTCCTTCATTGTTTATTGCCTAGGAACTGCCTTTGGACAGGAAGGTTCTATTTAGCCAGTAGTTATGACTGAGTAATTATAGTTTAGATTACTTGACTCTACCCAGATCTCAACATATTATATTTTTCCATTTATTTCTATGCATGTAAACAGGCAATATCTATAACAAAACCCTCTCTCTTTCTCATTCTGGAAAAGATGCCAAAGCAATATTCCAACAGCAACTCCTTCTCTGTCAAAGACAATTCAAAGTATTATTACTCACAACAAAACGAGAACATAGGGGACTAATTCACAAACCCACACATGTCCATGGAGGAAACAGTCCTTCTTTAATATAGTTTTATGCCTGGTCGCATACTGATTGATTTAAACCCAGAGCAACATTAATGCAATGCCAAGGTTGGCGTCTAGGGCTGTGCTCATCAAAAAAAAGACTCGGGTTAATTTCTGATCCAGATTTGGGGAGTGCATGTTTGTTGTTATCACAAATGTTCTGGACTCAAAAACAGGATCACGAAACCGCGGGGAAAATTGGGCGAAGCCGTGGGTCAAAATGCAGCCACACGGCTTCGAGTGGGAAATTGACCAATAGAAGGGGGGCAAACGGAGGCACGACCGTAACGCAGCTCTTGTGTGAAATCGGTCAGAGTTACACGCTTTAAGCTTATTGACTTCAATGGACTTAGAGGGGTGAAACTTTGCTTAGGACTGCATTGTAAGAGACCCCCCCCCCAAAAAAAGAAAGCATCCAGTCAACCTTGTTGAATATGGATTTCCACAGTGAAAACATGCTCCATTGCCACCTTCTTTTCTTTGGAGCTTCTGGCTTCACAAACACAAGTGCCGCACATGTAATGGAACACTGTGGAGCAGCCACACTTTTGAAGTCCTTTTGTAGGCTCCTTTCTCCAAATCAACCTGCTGGGCAAGGTCCCAAGAATTTTCGCAACCTCTTGCTCACTGCCTCTGCTAGCCATGCAGAACCAGATCCCGCTGTACCGATCCCAGACAATGCTGCAAGGCATAGTGGAAAGACTCACAGTAGGGACCCCCAGTGGTACTTGAAGAACACACACAGCCCCTAAATAAACCTTGGCATGTGGCCAAGCTGTGGAGCAAGTGACCATCCCGTTCCTGAACTTTAGTACCCTCCTCTTCCACCCCATGCAACCCCCTCCCACCTTGCATTTATGAAGACACTGACACAGCATCAACAACAAAGCGGCAGTGATTGTGGTGTGCCCTGAATTTAAAAGCGCCCCTCTCCCTTCTTTTGCAAGTGATTTCTGGCGTTACATCACAAATGAACATCTCACACAGCAGATGAATCCACCAAGCTTATTAGAAACACTGCAAAGGGGAAGGACAGGAAGAGAGGCACAAATGAGGGTAAAAGAAGGAGCTTTGGGGTTCGAAAGAGGCTCTATTTAGAATTCAGTCCTGATTGGCACAAAGCCAGACTCAGATGCTTCTGAGAATCCCTAAGAATTTATTCAGCGGGCGGTGCAGCTGTCACATTTAAGGAAGGAACCTACAGTTTCCTGATAGTCCCTGCCATTGAGATCAAGCAGAAGTTGCGTTCTTCAAACTTTCTCTCCTCTAAATTAGGAAGATACCTTTCCCAAGGTCTCTCCAGTGTCATTTTGCATGGATTCTAAATAGCCCCATTCTTCCACTCTCACTGGGTGGAAACAAATCCCATCTCTCTGCACTGGTGCCCATGCCGAAGCAGAGTAACCAACAACCATGCAGGAGATCCAAAGCAGGCAGGAGTAAAATGAAGGGAAAGCAGCAACAGAACAAACCAGAAAAGGAGAAGGATCGCTGTCGGTGAAGAGGAGGATGGGGGCTTTTCATGCTCTTCCGGATGTCCCGGAGTTTGGCGTTGTACTCTGACAGGGGGAGATGGGATAGGTAACAGTAGAGGAGAAGGCCAACCAAGGATGAAACAAAATCCATCGCGGAGAGGGAGAGAGAGAGAGGGAGAGAGGAGTCAAGAGGAAGGACAAACATCACAACAGACAAAAGAAAAAGAAGGGAGGGAAAACATAAGAAAAAAAATTAGTTGGAAATTTATCTAGGCCGAAAGACACTGTAGTAAGGATGTGCAAAAATCATCCCATGAGGAAACCAGTGAACCAATTCAACTAGCAGCTCTTTCACGTGATCCTGGGTGAACAGGTAGCCTCAGGAATAAGATTCCTGAAGTAAAAATGTCATGAAGGTGTCTGACTTCCTGTTGCATCAGGAGGAGTTGGGCATCAAAGTGACGTAACTGATTGTTGTTATTAGCTCTACGCTGCATTTCTGCAACTACAATCTGGGAATGATGTAGGGTTGCCAAATCTGTCTTCGCCGGGAGTGGGGGGCTCCCGGCTGGCGTCGGGGGTGTGCGCACGCATGCCGGGTGCGGAAATCGGGGCTTCAAAGCGGGGGATTCCCCGCCCCCCGCCCACATTTGGCAGCCCTAGAATGATGAAAGATGGTCACTAACTAACTCGCTAACTCATCTAACTCTCCAACTAAAAGTCTGTAGAAGATTAATATTGCAAAAGAGGGTGACATGTGAGAGACAGGAAATGAATATATTTGGGCATGGAGTCAATTTAGCACTGTACCCAAAGTGAAATTCTGTCACACTCCCACAGTGAAAGGGTGTGTGTGTGTGTGCATAAATTCACTGCAACAGAAGGATGAACACATGAAGCTGCCTTCTACTGAATCAGACCCTTTGTCCATCAAAGTCAGTGTTGTCTATTCAGACCGGCAGTGGCTCTCCAGGGTCTCAGGCTGAGGTCTTTCACAACACCTTCCCTTACAGAACCCATGCTGAGTCTGCCTCAATAGTTTTTGATCATCAATGTGCCTACTAATTCTCTCCTTAATAACAGTTTCCACCAACTTACCTAGTATCAATGACAGACTGACTGGCCTGTAATTTCCCGGATCGCCTCTGGAACCCTTTTTAAAGATGGGGGTGACATTAGCTACCTTCCAGTCCTCAGGAATGGAGACAGATTTTAAGGATTTAAGGATTTTGTACATATTTTTGTCAGGAGATCCACAAGTTAACATTTAAGTTCCTTCAGAACTCTCGGATGTATGCCATCTGGGCCTGGTGATTTATCAGTTTTTAAGTTGTCTATCAGTCGTAGGACCTCCTCTCTTATCACCTCAAGCTGACTCAGGTCTTTCAGCACCTCTCACCTGATCCTTTTAACTGGAGATGCCAGAAGTTGAACCTGGGGCCTTCTGCGTGCCAAGCAGATGCTCTGCCAGTGAGCCACAGCCCCCTCCTCTCACAATGCAAATCTGATACAAAAATGACCTAAGGAGATGTCATAGACATCTGTTCTATTCACTGTCACATTTCTCACTACAAAAACCCATTACCTATTAAAGACATGAAAATTATTGCACTCTTACTTCAAGGAGCTGATGGCAGTTAAATTTAAGTACAAAATGAAAAAAGGGCAGATAAGTGTACATACTTGGTTCTACCATTCCTGTTTTAACCTCACGACAATCCTGTGAGGCAGGTGACTGGCCTCATGGCGGAGTGGGATTTGAACCCAAGCACTCCTCAGTCCTAGTCCAGTACTCTAACAACCATACCATACTGGCTGTCCTGTTCTAGATCAAATTCCCGGGCGCTCTCTCTCTTTCTGGCCATTGTCCTACCTCTATGTTGGCCCCCTTGGGGAAAAGAGCATGTCGAAACCCCCTTCCATGAATGGGGCAGACTTGAGGCCAGGGGAAGGCACAATCCACTTTCATTGTTGAGGGTAGTTCAGCATGGAAGATCCATGGTTATCTTCACCTGGGTCACGATTACGGGTGCCTCCCTTGTGGCTATGGAGTGCCTCTGCCGCTTCTGCTTCCTCCTCCTCTTTTCTTTTTGGCCTATTGTTCTCTCTTTCTTTTTGCACTCTAGATCTCCATTGTCTGTTCTATTCCCTTTCGTGCCTTCTTCGTCTCCCCAGCTCTCTCCCCTCACGTTTCCACTGCCGCCTGTTATATCCTTCACTGTCTTTGTGCTCTGGCCCTTGCTCCTCCCAGGAAGCCTTCTCTGGCCTGTGTTCCAGAAACCATGCCCCTCCCAGGCAGAGTCTCATATTGGCTCCCACGGGTCAAGTTCCCCCAGGTGCAGCTGATGGCATATCCTTTTGCCACTGAGCTGTCAAGCAGCTGATTGTCAGGCGTGTGGCTAGAGAAGCCAGTATCCCATCCCTGTCCACTGAAGCCACTGATACCTGCCCCCCCCCAGGGCTTCTCACTCAGGTAAGGCCTTAGGAGCCATGACTGGGTCTTTGGCCCAGTCAGGTAGTCATGCTCTTCTCAATAACTGGAACATTAAAAAAAATTAATAAAGAATTGTTCTCACTATATTTATGCACGCATTCTTCATTTTCTACTTAACATATTCATTCACTAGTAACTATTTTTAATGGGAACTCAAACATGGCTACTTCTTGACAGTGTCTGAAGGTTCCCCCCATGCTCTTAGGGGATGCATTTCCTAACTAACAATGACCTTTATACAAGTGTCATGCATGTGTTTCAATTAGCTGTTGTGTACAAGTATACGTTTCATGTGGCAAAATACTGTGATTATTATTTTTATTCCATAGTTCCCAGAATAAGAGCTTAGACTTCAAATGCTCTAAGATTTGGGATTTTTAAATAAGATTTTTATAAGATAACTTTACAGTAAAGGTTTGGACAGTGACCTTTTTTTGTTGTTGTTTCACCATAAACTAGAAAGCTCAAAAAATAAATACTGTGGAAGGTGGGGAATAACAGAGAAAATAATAAAAAGCTGTTAAACTTGCAAGCAAACTCAGGGACTACACAGCTTCTTTACCTTCCTGAGGCTCCAAAGCACCCCTGGGCTTCCTCGTATTTCCACAGCATCGTAAAAATCGCTCACTGGTGGTATTTGCTTAGCTGTATATGAACTACAACTAGTGTCATAAACTAGAGCATAAAATAGATTTACACTAACAGCATATTGTGTACATGTAGAAAATCTCTATTTATACTACAAGACAGTTAAGAACTCGTAATAAAAAGTGAGCTGTTTTTAGTACTTTATCATGGTACTCATAATTGACAACCCAAACATAGCTTGAAATGAAAGAGCTCACCCATCACAATAATTACACATCAAATCTGGATTCAGGATGGACACTGGCCAGTTATAGTCAACCCTGGCTATTTGGTGATTTTAGAGAATCTCAGACAGCTGGGCTCTTTCCTGCAGAGGATCAGTCTAGAAATAGAGGACACATCCATAGCTAACAGCCTTGTGATACATCAGTGCTTTGCTGCTTGTATAAGAATTCCAATGGGTTGGTACCAGAGGATAAGCAGCAGTCACGCAATGACTTATGCAGGCATCTCTGACTCAGTTGGATCACGTTAACTGGCCCTGAGGTCTCTTGAGACAGGCACAATTTGCAATATGGGGTGATTAGCTTTCTCAGGGAAGTGAATCCTCCCAGAATCCTTTTGCCTTAATCATTATAGCGCTGTCCCCGCCCTGCTGTGTAGGAAATCAGAGTTCTCATGACAGTGAGAACCAGAGAGGATGATGATCTGCAAGATTCCACACATACTTCCCTGGGAACAAACAGGCAATTTATAGTAGCAGGCTTTGTAAATAACAGGCTTTGTAAATGCCCATACTCTCTTCCAGGCAGCAGGGGAAGTTCCATTCCCTCCACTCACCTTCTCATCATCCCCTGGGACTTGCCGGGTCTCTTGCTGTACAGCATGCATTGTGATCACAGAACACTACTAACTGGGAATCCAGACTGCTGACTTGTGCTTCTGCATCTGGGCCAGCTATTTTTCTCCTGGGATTTGGGATACAATGGTCCTTTCCACACTAGACCTTAACTCCTGGTTCAACCCTGTCCACGAACTTACATTCTACACTACACGCGAGTTCACCCCTATAGTTATCTCGGGGTATTTTTGTTTCCACATTACACTGAGGTCACCCCAGTTTCACCCCACTCTTGTCCCAGGATAGACGGATGCTGTTATAACCAGGGATAAATGCAAGGTGTTGTATCATGAGTTGAACTCTGGTGAAACCAGGGATGAGATCCAAGTGCGGAAAGGACCAACATTACCTGGGATTACTGGCCCACAAACGTTCCAGGGAGGGGGCTCCTATAACAACTTTCCATGACTGCCATATTTCTCCAATACAGACACTGTTGACATTAAAAAGTCCACTGTGTATGTGTACATGCGTGGATTTTCCATGTGTCCAATGGTAGAATGTAAGTGGTCTGCCTACCCTACCCTTTTCCCATTTTTGCTTTATAAAGGCAAAAATTCTGCATATGGTAAGCAGTGCAATCATAATCAGAGTTACACTTCTCTAAATCCACTGACTTAGAAGGGTGTTAACTCTGCTTAGAATTGCATTGTACACTGCTTAAATGCCACTGAAGTCAACAGATGTTATCCTATGTTCTACAGGAATGGCATGCATGACTTTTGTTGTTGTTCAGTCGCACAGTCGAGTCCGACTCTTTGCGACCCCATGGACCAGCTCCCTCCAGGCCCTCCGGTCTTCCGCCATCCTCTGAAGTTTGCTCAACTTCATGTTCGTTGCATCGATGACACTGTCTAACCATCTCATCCTTTGCCGTCCCCGTCTTCTTTGACCTTCAATCTTTCCCAGCATCAGGGTCTTCTCCAGTGAGTGCTCCCTTCTCATTTGGTGGCCAAAGTATTTGAGCTTCAGTTTCATTATCTGGCCTTCCAGGGAACAGTCAGGGTTGATTTCTTTGAGGATTGACTGATTTGTTCTTCTTGCAGTCCAAGGGACTCTCAAGAGTCTTCTCCAGCACCATAGTTCAAAAGAATCTATTCT